TCACCCATCATTGAATCCAAATCTGGAAGAGTTCCTCTAGTCAAAACATTAGACCTAATTATCTCATATTCAAGTCTAAGTCTTCACCTTTCTTTTCTCAAAATGTTGTTGGAGATACTTACACATTCTACAGTGTTTGAAGGATCTATATGGACAAGTTCATATTCTGCCAACAAGTCAAGAAAAATGGCATAGTATTCCTAAATCTTCCTGTCTCCCTGACAATAAGTAAAAATCTCAAACTCAATCCGATACTGTCTTGACATATTAGATTAGTGGTAAACTTTCTTCAAGTATGCATACATCTCATAGGCAGTTTGCATTCTCCTCATGGATACTACAATATGAGATACTATTGAACTAAATATCCAGGAAACTATTTTCCCATTATCCAACTTCCATTATGAATAAGCCTTGTATCATTTTCATCCAGTTTAGTAACTTTTCCATTCAAATATCCTCCCAGACCTTTTCCTTCAACAAAGAAATCAAATCGGAACTTCCACATGTTGTAGTTAGTTTTGTCAAACTTCACAGGAATGACAATAGGCTGATTGGATCAGCCGATTTGAAGAAATCAAAAGAATACTAACCTTCTGGCATCTTTTCCAACAAAAAAAACCTATCACTTTCGGCTGATTAGAACAACCTTCAAACGGACTTCAAACAGGGCTTGATGATAGTCAAAAGACTTCCCAAAAAATCCTTTTAACAACCAAAGAATCAAATTGAATCAATAGCCGGTAGAATTCCCGATAGGTACCCTGTACTTTAGGCCGGGTGCCAATTTAGTACCCGAACTTTAAAACGCGACAATCTAGTACCCGAACTTTCATTTTGCGACAATCTAGTACCCGGCGTTAACCAGCTATTAAATAGCATGACAAAAATGCCCTTCAAGTGTAAACTCCCAGGGCTGCACGACACGTTGACTGCAACAAGTTGAAATGCGGTAGCAGTGGCAGCAAGGGTGGTGCTACTCCTTTCCCTGCACCGGGAGCAATGACATGCCGCAACCCCCACCGCCAAGTTCGGCCCACTCGCCTAGATTCTTCAAGCCTCCTCCGCCATAGTCAACCATGTCGAAAGGAGCGCCACCGAAGACAAAGCATCCTATTATTACCACAACCTCCATCTCCACATCCAACTAACCAGACTAAGCAAAAGCCTCCTATTAGACATTACCTTCCATCACCACCAACCCATCATTATCCTTACGCATCACCACCACCACCACCAACTCATCATTCTGGTTATGCCTCACCTCCTCCCCATCTTCTCCTCCAACCCATCACCTTTATACACCACCATCGCCACCTCCACCACATATTGGGGTGCCGCCACCAACCCATCATTATACAACGCCTCCACCCCTAGAAGAATTCTACCCACCTCCAACCAGTGCTCCGCCACCACAAGTTTCTATTTCTCTCTCACCTCCATTTGGGTGCATCATAGAATCACCTCCTTTGTCACCAAGTCATGCTTCTCGACCACCATCACCACCACCAGAAGCCTGGCCCGAGTTGCCTTATGTAACCGGTGAACATGGGAGTAAGTAGGATTCTGGAAGTGATTTCAAATTGCCGAGATCAGCTAGGATCGATCCGTTGAATTCGTTTGTTACCGAAGAGAACAAGCCTCTTCAACGAATCGAGGACAATAGCTTACCCAGCTTCTCTTTTAAGCAGAAGCCGCAAATGCCACCTGGATTGTTTTTGTAAGGATGGTCACTGCACTGCATCCCCTCCCTTGTGTCGTCCACTGCTCCTCCACCACCACCACCCTTGTCCATCACTATCATCTTAATCCCAATCTCGGCAGCTAAAACACTACCGCCAGTACAACTCCAGTAAACATATTGTAAGCCACGTTGAACTGCTCCAAGCTCTTCATCTACCCAATGGTGGGCGGAAGCAGGCCTTGGGGATGTAACCGCTGAGGTTGTTGTTGGACAACAAGATGACAGAGATGGGGGAGTTTTCGAGGTTGTTCAAAATGCCAAATCGGAAGCGGTTGTTCAAGTCCTTATCAAAGAGCCAGATCCGCAAAAATGGTATCTGGGAAGATGCCGCAGAAACGGTTGGAGTTGAGGTGGAAAAGAGCCGGTCAGCCAGATCCGTTAAGATGCCAAGCTTGGGTATGAGATACCCAGCAATGTCAGTGTGGTTGAGATCGATGTCGGAGACTTATTGTTTATGGTGTAAGTTGCTAAGGCAACAGGGAGCCACCTACGCACTCAGCCATTGCTGCAAGCATTCTTCGGTGCGGCGAAGAACGTTTGGTTGGTGGTGGATGGAGGCTTCACCTCCATCAAGAGATTTGGGTTCCTAGAACCTGATCTTCATTTTCTTGAGAAAGAAGATGATGAATAGTGTGTTTGGGCTCTATTTCATTTTCTTGAGAAAGAAGATGATGAATAGTGTCCAAGGGTAATTTTGACATTTTTAAGTCTTAAATCGCACATGAGGTCACGTGATATACATAACTGACGGTTCATTAATGGTAGGTACTAGATTGTCGCAAAATGAAAGTTTAGGTACTAGTTTGTCGCGTTTTAAAGTTCAGGTACTAAATTGGCACTTGGCCTAAAGTACAGGGCACCTATCGGGAGTTTTCCCAAAAAAAATAAGACTATTAGTACAACAGGGACTATAGTACTACAATACATCAAGAGTCTCGACACGTCCAACACCTCTAACCACAGCCATAGCTGACCTATCCCCATGAGTAGTAGCAATGACATTTGTACTCATTGGAGGAGCTCTCCTAACTTGAGAAAATACATTTATCATAGGGAGTTCACTGCTTCCTAAATTTGTGCTTGAATAGGTTCGAACTCTACCTTGAGTCCAAACAAAAACCTTGCCATTATCAGATGATCATGATCCTATTGTTGCCTTGCTAAATTAAGTGTAAGTAGGGGTGTCAATGAACCGGTTTTGGGTTGGACCCTGTCCAAATCAAAATCAATTTGAACATCTTAGATGGACCAACAAAATATATTGAATTGGACCAGTCCAGAGTTAATGGTCCAAAGTATTTATTGCATTGGATTGGACCTGATCCATCCATAATGGATTTATATTGGATTGGGTCAGATTAAGCCAATATCTGATCCATTGATAGAAGATAAGAGTATAAGTGTCAATGGACCAGATTCGGATTGGAACAAATCTAAATTAAAACCAATTTGAGCAGATTGGACGGTCCAAACATTGAATTGGACCAGTCCAAAATGGTCTAAAATATTCATCAGATTGGATTGGACCTTGTCCATTTGTAAGACTTATATTGGACCGGATTGGATTGGACCAAATCTGGTCCAGTCGACACCCCTAAGTGTAAGGGGCTGATTATTCATCTAATTCTGAATATTTTTGAGAGTGGAATGGTACTTTACGCTTTCACCTTCTTGCTGTAATTGGAAGTAATCTCGATAAAGTTAATAAATTCGGGGAACATTTTTTGTCCTGAATACAACTATTTACAGTGATTCCATATATCCTTTATTGTGTCTAAGAACTTAAGATTGGTACTAATCTTGACCTCCATACTGTTCCATAACCAGGTCAATTATTTGGGCATTTTCCAGTATCCATTCACTGTACTTAGATGAGGTTGAATCTGGTTTGTCTTCAAGGATATATTTGTCTGTCATTAGCAGTGAAAAAAACCTCAACTGAGTTTGACCAAGGGGCATAATTCTCTCCATTTAGTTTAATAGAAGTCATTTGTCCTATGAACATTGATGAACTGATAACCAGTCCAGATTTAGCCTCACCACTTGGATGTTGTCATTGCCAAAGACTCTGATTGACACAAGCTCCAAGAATATTGCTGGCTGAAACAAACACCTTCAATTCAAGGAAACGCTACAAGACTGCTACTGCTGATAACAATATCACTTACTCAAATAAAAACATAGACCTATTACCAAAAAAATAAAAATAAAAACATAGACCAAGATTCTCACAGCCCCAAACACAAAACATACCATTCATATCAACCAAAAAACAGCACGGGTTTAAGGACCTGCCTTGTTGGAAACCTTCTTTGAATTCTCAATAGAGGGTGCTCAATCACAAACACACCACCACCATACATAGCCACAAGATGTGGCCATAAACAACTGAAACCAAGGCTGAGAAAAACCCCTACCTGCTGTGATTCAAGAAATATGAGAGAGATTACGACAAAATAATAAGAGACAACACTTGAAACCTTAATTGTCCTCTTGAGTCTTCCCTAAATATGCTATGATACCATGTGAATAGTATCAGTTATTAGAGAGGAAGAGAAGAATAAAGAATGAGAATAGAGAAGAGGAGAAGAGAACTGGAAATCAAACTGACCTAGGGAGAGAAAAAGAAGAGAATCAATCCCCAGTCCTGTCAACTAACAGAGTACTTAAGGTGCAAAAAAAGGAGAGGTAAACTCAAAATCTTAAACAAAGTTACAATTATTCCCCCGATCACAATAATAGTGTCCTTATAACAAAGATTAAAATGACATAATTGTCCAGCTGCTCAAATACTTAAAGAATAAAGAGCAATTCCAACACCCCTCACACCATAAGGTGCTTCTCTACCTTCCTTGGAGCCCAGTGTAACAGCTGAGGCTCTTTTTTATTTTTTATTTTTTTATCTCAGCTGCTTAGTATATATGCAGAAGTGATGTTACAGAAAAATAGTCTAGTATTCAGAAATTTTGTCTGGAGCTTTCTACTTGATTCAGACTTGGGTTATCTATGAGCCTAGCTTCTCCCATACCCAGCAAAAATGGAAAAATAAGGAAAAGAGAAAAAGAGTAATCATCTAGAAAATAACCCGGTACCAGTGGAATTCATGTAAAAAATTGTGATACAGATAAGGGACCTTGGTTATGAAGGGAATGATGTAGAGGTCTACCCTTTTAATTACTATTTCAATATGCCTGATTCTGAGCTGTCTAATTGCATTATCTACTTGTGCTTAACTATGCCTTTTGGGACTCTGCAGGTTATAAAATGGATGTTAAGCAAAGGCCAAGGGAACACATTGGGAACATATAGACAGTTGATACGTGCTCTAGATATGGACCACAGGGCAGAAGAAGCACACAACTTTTGGATGAAGAAAATTGGTACTGATCTACATTCAGTACCATGGCAATTATGCAGTCTGATGATATCTATATATTATCGGAATAACATGCTGGATAGGCTTGTAAAGGTACTCGTATTGCACTATCTTGTGTAAGGATATCTGAGTTGTACATTTCATTTTCCTTTCCTCATCATTGAAATGCTTCTTTGTCTGCAACCTGCATTTCCAAGAAAAATGATTTTTGTTTCATTTTCCTTTTATGGTCATAGCGGCTAAAGAATAATCATAAATGATATTTAAAATTCACTCAAACAACCAAGACAAAGGAGTTGCTTTAGTTAGTACTTCCTAGCCTCTTAAGGCAATTGGGTTTAGTTGAAAATTAGAAAAAAAATGTATTAATGTATCCAAATGAGAGAAGGAAAGAAAATAGAAAAGAAAGGGAGAAAGAAAAGAAAAGAAAGATTTTTTTTAGGAGAGTGTTGAGCCATTGCATCCTCTCTACTGTTTTCTCTACCTTTCAGGAAAAAAATAAAAGAGATCAAAGGGAAAATTTACACTCTTTGCCTTAACTTTTGATTTCCTATGTTATTCAAACTAAGAAATGAACTTTATTTTAGATTTTTTTTTCCTTCTTCCATTTTTCTTACATCAAAGTGCAACATAAATTTCTGAGTTTATGCTTATGCTTCTCAGTTTTTTTAATCTATAAAGTGAATTCAATTGGCAACTTAGTAAGGTTTTAAGGTCTTGAGATTAATGTACAACAAAATTTGAAATTTTATAAAGACCATAGATTTAAAAAAAAAGGGCTATTACCCAATATTTGGGAGGACTGGATACAGACCTGAGTTTTGGCATTTTTTGCACAAAGTTGCTGCTCTCAGATTTGAACCTGTGTTCTTATGCATCTGTCCAATATTTTACCATTACACCAATTTTTTTTCACAAAGATCATAGGTTTCTGCAAAATATTTAGTCTTATTACTTTAATGTCTGCTATTTTTATATACAATTATGATGTATGCTAACAATTAAAAAAAATTATGATGTATAGGTTCAAAGTAGATAAGCCCTATGCCAAACAAATAACTCATTAGTGCGGATAAAATTAGAGTTAAGGATAATTTGGTGAAATTCTTTGATTACGGTGATAGAATATTCCCAAGACTTAAATGTTTCTGTTGGTATAAGTTACAGGGTTCTGAATGATTTGGGTTTGGATGATGCTAAGTCAGTTAAAGAATATCTAGCCCAGGGAAATCCTCAATCTGCTAAAATGGGGAATGGAGATACAGTACAAGCTAATATCAAGAGATCAAGGAGCAGAAGTTTGGTTGAGCTTTCAAGATTGTTTGGTGGTGGGATGGAAGTTTTTTTTTGATAGATAACATTGGTGGTGGGATGCAGTTAGGTTCATCTGTCCTGTTGTCTGCTTTAAGGTTCTATTTGGTGGCTTTTGTGCTCATGTTGGAATCATGGGGGTGGGAATCTCAGTGCATTGGGCCCTTTTTTTTCCTGTAAGGTTGGTTTAGATGTCTTAACTTGAGAGGCTTCACCTCGTAACTTTGGAGGTTGTGTTAGGGTTTGTGATTGATCTGAGTCTCTCTTGCCTGATTCATGTATATTTTATTGCAGTAATGTTTCTTTTATTGCTTTTGTTTTCATTGATTTTTTCTTCTCCTAAAATAGATAACTATGGAAGTATATTAAAGGAGAAAAAGGAAGAAGGTAGACAAGAGGCATACAGGGGCAAAAACCTAAAGCAAAAAAGTAGCAAAAGAAATTACCATGCCTTGCAAACCAAAAACTTTTCATGGAACTTTAATAAGTGCATCCCAACAAGAAAGAAGAAATATTGAGCCAATAAACAAGAGCATCCAATAAAGACTTCATCAACAAGCAGTTCGTTACACTCTTACTTTGTTGACAATAAATCCTTCAGAAATATCTACACTATCTTCAGAAATTGGACTTAGTTGGACTCCAAGTGCTAATCACCTGGTGGATGGCTTGGCAAAATCTGGGGTACATGGAAATTTCTTTTATTGGGGTACAATACCAATACAAGTGAAAGGGGGGAGGGGGTTAGCTAAGACTAGCTAATTGAAGATGGGTGCATGGCACTTTAAATTGTAATGTAATTCTTTTCTATAAAGTAATAGAATTTGTTGTTTCCAATAGGCAATCCACCTCACTTTGTCAGCAACCAATCCTCAAAACTGTCATGGACTTTACTGCCAACACACCAGGCAAGGCAACAACCATAGTGTCTCTACAATCATCAAATAGTGCTCCCTTCCTCCTTAGTTTGGGCACAGTGTCCCCAACTCTTAGTCATCAGCCCAATAGGACCCCAACAATGATCTGAAACAAAATGTTCCAGTCAGAAAATCCTTTCCTCCCCTTGGATGTTGACATTTAGCATAAGGTATTCATCCATATAAGGGTGCTTTCTCCTCTAAAACTCACTTTTGCTCAACTTAAGCATCCATTGCTGCTAGCATCAATTACCTCTACTATGATCCCTAGTACCAGCTTTAGCTAAATTTATGATTTTTTTTTTAATTGAAAATGTTTTCATTAATCAAGAGAAATAAGACTTTACAAGAATCCCTTGGAGTACTAATTGATTTCATCCTTCTAATTTTCTTGATATGTCTTTAACTCCAATCCCTAGTACCAAGTATGGCTGCATATTGTTATTGGAGCTGATAGCATTTCCAGAAACTACTATATTTGGTTTATCATTCTAGATTTGTTTCTTAGAATCCAAATATGTTAGACACATGTTCACCTCCAATTTGTGATTGCTGACCTTTGCACATGATTTTATTACCCAATATGGATTCTGAAGCTTTTCAAGGGTCTTGAAGCATTTGATCGGAAACCACCGGAAAAAGCAATAGTGCAGAAAGTGGCAGATGCTTATGAGATTTTAGGTCGACCAGAAGAGAAAGAGAGAATATTGGACAAGTACAACCATCTTTTTACTGAGACATGGAAGGGAAAGCCCAAGCGATCTCAGAAGGCCTCACAGAAAAAGACAAGGAAATCGGGTATGCTTTCTGCCTTCATGGTAGTTTGAAATCTGGGTTGGACCCTCTAATACCTATAAAATTAAAAATAAATAAATAAAAAGGGATGCCCATTTGATTGTATCGGGTGTACCGATATTTTAATACTTGAATGTATCCAAGCATATCTGTCTTTCCACTGTATCCATGTGTTTTCAAAGCATATCTGTATCCGTATTGGAATCCAAACTTACTAATATAATACTCAATACTGACATTTTGAACCTTCCACTGAAGGCAATTTTGTGCTAGGTTTGGGTGAGAAGGTCCATTAATGTGGTTAGCGGAATAAGATAGAACAATAGGATGAAAAATCGAAGTAGCATCTTCTGATTTGGATTACTTTACAGGTGAGAGAAAGAATACAGATACTTCAGACAATTTAAAGCCTGCTGTGGATGACCTACAAGCAAGTTGATAATAATGAGACCAACATGGTAAATATTTTCCTTTTCTACAAAATAACTAGATATTGTAACTGTTTTCTTGTATCTTCCATTGGATGGCTTATGTTTTTTGTAGTAAAATTGTACAAGCAAGGGAAATGAATGTTATCCTTTACTTCCAAAATATTATGTCTTCAAATCAATTGTCTTTATTTTCTAGCATTGCAGGCAGAGTGCTTTGGGAAGCAATCCTGGTCTATGTAGCCTCAGTTGTCACAAATGAGAACTCTTTCCTTCCCAATTTTCATTGGTGATGCATGCATGCCATATCATGTTTGAAAAGGTTCAGGAGAAGATTGAAGGGTTATTGCTTTCAAAAGGATTGAATCTTTTTGCTTTATGTCCTTGTCAGATTCTGTTGTTACCCGGCTTACAAGCAGATAGTGGGTGGGGCAGGGAAAGGATCTTGGAATTTGTAATTGTTGCTTATTCTGTTTGTCATTCATTCAGCATCTCATAGAAGTAAACAATTGAAGAGAGTGACCGTGCACCTGCAGACATGGGAGAACACTTGAGCTTGCATTTCTTATTGAGTTTGACGGATTGGAAGCAATAAGCGAGATGATGCACGCGAGGAGATGCTTGGTCGTGATTTTGGGGGAAGGAATTGCCTTAAACATTGTGAAGAAGGTATACAAGGGTACTGGGAGCACTGGCTGTATTTGGATCTCTGGAATGAATTTCGAAGCATGCCTTTCAATTCTTCAAAATTCAAATGACTAGTCTCCCCTACACATTTTCAATTCATTTCCAGTTCTGTAAAAACGTAGAATTAAAATGCTTTAAATGTTACAGGATCTAGGGGTGCAACTTGGGCGGGCCCAATCTGCAATTTTGCACGGGCTGGGCTTGAATTTTCAGTCCTTGGGCCCAAGAGTTTGGGCTTTTTTATTTTTCAAACTGGGTTCAGGCTTAGCCCTTAACCTGAGCCTGGTTCAACCTTATTCCAGTTCAAGTCTAACCTGACTATGTACATGCATTAATGCATATATACATATGTATGCATACTTTTGGTAAACCATGCATGATGCATACGTATACATTTATATCAAATTTTAGTTTGGACTGATTGATCAACATGACCCCAGCCCGGGCCCAATACCAATTCGAGTGCATCAAATTTCAATATGGATTAGGCCCGGATTTGACTGGGCCTGAGTCTTAGGTCTAATTCTTAGGATTGGGCCTGGATTGAGCTTAAACCTATCCTAGCCCACCTGGCAATTAGCTCCCCAAACTTTCATTTGTGACAAAGTCCCTTAACTTTCAGATTCCAGCACTTTGCACCTACCGTATACCAGATGGTATACTATTTTCTGTTAATAATTATTTAATTATGATAATGATTTGAGTTTTGACCCAAAAATGATTTGGGCATACCACGCCAAGGGTGATTTAATTTGATATGGCCACACCACATTTTGCATCTCCATATGTGCATAGGGTATTGATGGAAACATGAAAATTTTATTATTTGGGGTAGAGCTGCAAATGGATGAAGACTTTATTGTATAGGTAGACCCAAATTTAATTGCTTAATATTCAAAATTGAATAAGGTCTTATCTACATTGTGATTACAACCCAAGAAAAACTCCTTTCTTCTTAATGTAATCATCTAAAGGGATAGCTCTATGCATAAAACGCCAAATAAAAAAAAGAGTTTAGTAGGCAGTTTAGAATCCCAAAACGTTCGAGATGATCCTATAAGCTCTCAAGCTGTACTAGTGCTAGAATCACTACTCACTATTACTACTATACCTCCATTAATCCTCATGTTGATCCAAAGATACATTTGAACTAAGCGCCAAATCCTTGATAAAAGCTGGAATTACTTCAATGGGCTCAAAGTTCCACGTTCCATCTTGTCTTGAGATTTGGTTTAAATGAACATTGGATCAATTCTGGAGATTGATTCCTGATTTCCTGTTGCTTCCCTCAGAACGAACCATAGAAACAAGTGAGCTAAGCTAATATGGATATTTATAGATGAATCATAATGTGCCTGGGCTAATATATAAGAACACTCATCTGGGGTTCAAACCACAGTTTTCCATAACCTTTTTACATCTGTATTTCAAGATGTGCTATGAGATGATTGCACCCAGCTTCAAAAGAGGTGATGATTCACCTAGTTATGCTTTAGGGGGTGTTCTTTTCTTGGATTTGGAGGGGGGGGGGGAAGTTGGTCAATGGGATTTTGGTTCCCATTGACCAAGAATTCTATGTTCTTTTTTCAGCTTTATGTGGAGACTAGGGAAACTTTATTTTCCTGGGTATCACTTACACAGGAAAGTGATAACCATCTCCTAGGTGGGTAAATAATTTTTTCACATAAGAAGAAAGTTTCCAACACTTGAATGGGACAAAAGTGTCCATTTTAATAATGTATTTCTATGGCTAAAATGGTCATTGCCTTATTTACCTGAGAAATAAAAGAACATGGGTAAATGCACTTACCTGGATAAGTGTTTCTCAAGAAAAACGAACATGGGTAAATGCACTTACCTGGATAAGTGTTTCTCAGGAAAAACTTACACAGGTAATTGCATTTACCCAGATAAGTAACTTACTGAAAAGCGAATGGGGCCTTAGAGTAGGTGTGGGCATGATTATGAGCTCACGTGAGGATGGGCACGAGTATGGGCTCACATAGGTGTAGACAGCATGTGTGATTGGTTGGTCTAGTTGTAGTGATTAGTAATATAAACTTTCATTTATAAACATCAGTGCAAGATTTTTAGTGCTTTGATTGATAACAGGGCACTTGTAAAAAAATTGAAAATTTATAAAGGTTATATGCTACTGTATATAGAGGAATACTTATCTTTGCCTTGAAATTTCATTTGAGAAATGTTTGTTAAAATCTCCAATCGAAGGTGTTTTCTAAGGGCTATAGATCACTTTTTTTTTGGGTATTTAACACAACACACCAACTTTTCAACATAGATAGAAATAGCGGGACTCGAATCTACGTTTTGGCAAGGGCTATGAATCACTGACGGGTCCAAACGGCCAGAAAAGGGTTGGAGTTTGTCATGAGAACAGAGGCAAATGTAAGGTTCTCTTGAGGTTTTGGTTTCCCCTGCGGTTCTCCCATCATTTTAACTCGATCAAATTCAGAATCAAGACTTCATTAGTAGGATTGGATCAGACGTTGCCGAATCCGACCCAATTATAGACCTACTCCACAATTCCATATCTTTATTCAACACCTACATGCTACAATGTAAGCCTACCTACAATGACAAAAGAAAGACTCCTCCGCCCTAATAGTCTTCTCGTCTAACTAGTCAATGGACTCAATACTCGTGTTATGCATGGCTTCTAACTCCTAAGCTGCTAAATAGTATTTTCTCATTGTTAGAATACCATTATTACACGTAGAGGCTGAGTAATAACAGAGCCTGTGATTGATAGAGAGGGAGAGAGATTATAAGGGTCCATTTGGTTTGTGGGAATAGGGGGTATAGAATTGAGCCGTTAATTAATTAGTTGGGTGGAATGGAATTCTAATAGATCATGTTGGCATATCAGTGTTTTGGACAACCCTTGGATTGAAGGGTGGACCCAGAAATGGTTAGGGATTGAGGCCGGTGTTAACCCCAATTATCGAGTATCACACCTCACCTATTAGTCCACACCACCTTCTACGAATTGTCGATTATGTAAATAATAATAATAATTATTATTATTATTTTGTACTAGTCATGATTGAAGTTATATTATTTTTTTAATATTTGTATTGTTTAAAAAACACAATAGTCTTATTCTTAATTAACAACATAGATCATCTCACATATTATAGATGAGATGCATGGAATCAAAACACAAAATGTGGGATAAACTACACCACACCTTACATAATGCCTATGGGGTGTGTGTGGTTTAATTCATCCATTTTGTCATGACAACTTTGCTACTATGGCATGCTGTGGGTTCATCTATGACACAGGTGTAGTGTGGATGAGAACACACCACCTAGTTTCTCATCCATACTATATAACACCCTCTTAATGAGTGAGAATTGAATGGAGTGAAAAGTAATAGTTCAAATTATATTTTTGCCCTCATAGTTTAAAATGACTAAATTCAAAGGGTGTTTTAGTTAAGAAAAAGTATATGAATATCTTTCATTTAATATATCTTAAATAGATGATTTAATGAGAGGGAATTAGAGTTAATACCTTAATTAAATATAGGGCTTAGTGGCAAGAATTGTAATAAACTTAAAAGTAGTTGTTCAAATTACAATTTTTACCCTCATAATAAAGAATGAACAAATTCAAAGATAGGGGTATTTTGGTAAAGAAAAAATAGAATCTAGACCTTATCCTCACTTTTAATAGTAGTATAGATATAAATATGAATTTTTAGAAAATTTTCACTATAATAAAATCCCAATCAGATATCCACGAAAATTGTCAATTGAATTCTAACAGTTTAAAAATCCATCGCTTTCTCATCAAATTCAAATTTCTTATGATCAAATCTGAATATAGCGCTATCCTAATTCTATTCAATCCATTTGCTTCCCTTACATCTTTGTCCGTATGTGATTTAGGCCATGTTTGGGAGTGCTTAAGTAAAAAATAAGTGCTTAAAAACAAGTGCTTATTTAAATAAGTACTTATTTGCATTTAGCACCTAACTTTTTCAAGTGCTTATTTTTTTTTTTTATATTGGGTGTTTGGTAGTCTTTTTCTCTAATGAGCACTTAAATAAGCATTTCTGACTATTTGTCCTTCATTTTATTTCAAACTTTCAAAATATACCATTTGAAAGCGCTTTTATAAAAGTACTTTTATGAAAGCACTTTATAAAAGTTTTATAAAGTGGTCATAAAAGTGCTTACGTAAAAGCACTTTTATAACAAGTGCTTTAGTAAAAGCACTTTCATAAAAATACCTTTATAAAATTCAATAGAGGATAATTTTATAAGTGGTATTTAAAATTCAACTAGGGATAATTTTGGAAGAAAAATTTTAAACAAGTGCTTATTGTATAAGCACTTAAAAAAGGCTGGAAATTTGGGCTTAAAAAATAATCCCTTATTTTTAAAATAAACACTTATTTTGGGCTTATTTCCCAAATACCAATAAGTGCTTAATGACTCAAATAAGCACTTATTTTTAAGTACTCCCAAACATGACCTTAAAGGTTCCATGATGGAAAAGCTGGTGACTAGTATATTTTATTAGGGATGCAACTTGGGTGGGCTCGACCCAATCATGGACCAAGTACAACAAAAGAAAAAAAAAAAGAAAGAAAATATGCCTGGACTGACCCAACCCATAATTTTATATATGTTGGGTTTGGACTTTCAATCCTTAGGTTGGACTTAAAGATGACAATTTGACCTGTCGATCTCAGGGGTTCAGCCCCACCTCTACCTGGTTGGGGTAGGTTTTTGACCACTGATCAGGTTTGGGGCAGGTTTCGAGAAAACCCAAAACTTTGAGGAGAGGGGTGGGATGGACAAAAGTGTATTTGTGTGTCTTTATATATAATATAGTTATAAGTAGGTTTCAAACAAAAAAATAATTATAATAATAATTTGGAAATAGGAATGATTGGGGTAATGCAAGGCAAATTCAACAATCCCCGTTCCTCGTGGGGATGAGGATGAGATTGGGATTTCTAGTCCCAATGGGATATAGTATACAAGGCAGTGTATTTGAGTTGAGGATCCGGGACAAGGCATATAAAATGCCGCCCCACCCCATTGCCATTTCTAATTGGACTGGGTCAAAGATTTCAGCTTTTCTTTTTATTTTTTGGGCTGAGCCTGGGCCTAGCCTTTAGGTAGGTCAAACCCTGATTGACACTATCCCAATTCGAACCCATTTTAAGTACATTTAAACATACACCCAGAGATATATATTTGCGTAAATACACACATTCATGCATACGTATGATCAATATTTTGGAAAGAACAGACTTGACCTTGGGATCGATCCGGACTCGGGCCATAGGCTACGTTGTCCATAAATCCGGCCCAGCCCGCCCGAGTTGCACCCCTTACTTTTGTTTGACCAACTGACCAAGGCAGAGGGCGAGACGGCGAGTGGCTCTGTGGCGGGAACTGCAGTCCTACCGTTATTTTTTTCCCGCTCAAAATCCTGCGTAACGTGGTTTCACTTTGTTTTCTTCTCGGTTGCTGGTGAAGTTGCATCTTTTCTGAGTTCATCAATCCATAGAAATGCCGAGTCTAGTCGGAAATGGGTACTCTGAAATATACAGTGATTCTAATTTTGCTGGTAGAAACAAAAACAAAGAAAAGAAATCTGTGAAGGTGGAGAAAACTGATGAGATTCGATCAGGGGGATATTCCACACCTCGGAAAAGGCGATTGAGATCTGGAACTAGCCATGACAGTCCAGTCTCAATTCCTTCCACTTCCTGCTCGCCGGATAAATGGAAATCGCCTCGTAGATGCATCGATAGCAGCCCAAATAGCGTTTCAAACGTGAGTTCCAATTGATGGTTCTATATAACTACATTTGGATTTTATTGATTTTCAACTTCTAATCTAATTTTCTCCTTCATTAACGTTGGCATTATCTCTAATTATTTCAGGAAATTCGCAAAAAATCTGGTAATAAGCTAGTCTAATTACAGAAAACTGGCAAAGGATCTGATAATAAGCTTGCCGAATCACCCAAAACTGTCAAAGGGTCCGGTGATAAGCTTGCTGGATCACACAAATCCACTCGGAGAAGATTGTATGATAGTCTTCCTCAGATACCAACATGGAATCCCAAAGGTAAGCTTTTAATTTTTGTAGATATTCTACTAATACCCTACTTAAAAATAAAGTAGGATCTGGCTTGAGTTCATTAAGAGTATCTGTAAATGATCTTGATTTGTTCTCTTCTCATTACCCCTCTTAGAAACCCGAATTGCTTTAGGATGTTTTTTTTCTTCTTGGTGTTGATTCTAATCTGTGGTGCATGTTGAGTTGATCTTGATCCAATTTTATACTTTGATCTATATCAAGATTCTGAGCAGATGAGTGCCGTGAAAAAAGCATTGCATGTATCAACAGCACCTTGTGCTATCGTGTGCCGGGAGGAGGAACAGAAAAGGATATTGGATTTCTGCAAAKCATGCATAGACCAGAAGAAAGCTGGGAATTTGTATATCTCTGGGTGTCCAGGGACGGGAAAAACATTAACAATAAACAAAGTTAAAGAGCAACTGGTTGAATGGACAAAAGAGGTATTCTATACATTTTTCATTTGGTTGTTTAGGCTGTGGAGACGCTGATAGCTATCATCTTGGAAACTAAATATGAATTAAATTTGCTGGGACTCTTGCCCAAAAAAAAATGCTGGGTCAGGCTTTTCTTTCTTTTTTTTTTCTTTGATCAACAACAGAACCTTTTATTAAGAAATTTAAGAGAAAAATACAAAGGAAAGCAAAGGGAAGAGGTAAATTCTCTTAACCCTCCCCGGGCAAAACATAAAAAACAAAATTACAACACAGAACATTTGGTCCAATTCCCACCCCTTGTAGAGCAAGAGCATCCGCAAAGGAGTTAGCACTTCTCTTTACCCATTGCATCTGAATCTCTACATCCTGAGTTAACCATCTGAACTTTCTCTTTTCCTTGGCAAACTTCCATAATCCATTTTCCTCCTTTTGCAACCACCCTATAACCAATTTTGAGTCTCCTTCAACAATTGACTTTCTAATATTTAATTCTTTAGCCTTCTTTAACCCTTCCATTACTGCCATAACCTCAGCTCTAAGTGACTCACCTACACCAATAGGACCAGAAAATACAGCAATAACCTTCCCTTCCTCATCTCTGAAAGTTCCTCCAATGCCTGAAGGCCCCAGATTACTTTCACTGCTTCCATCAAAGTTCAACTTAATAAATCCAGAAGCTGGTGGAGACCAGAGGGGACTAATTTTCATGGGGCTAAATGTTATGGACGCATTCCTCGGAAAGACGTACCATCGCCGCCGGCAGCAACAGGAACCTGACCCACCGCCAGATTAGATTAGATCATCTTGCTTGTTCTTATCTTATTCTATTGCTCTTATCTTATCTTGTTAGTAAGTTATCAGATTAGGATTAGTTTATCTTATTATCAGATTAGGATTAGTTTATCTT